ATTGGCACAGAAATTGTTTTCTCAAATATTACCAGCGATTAACATGTCAGACTTTAATCAAACATATCTCTAATAGAGGCTTTTATAGTAGATACGAATTATGCTCATACTTTATTAGAAATTAAGTAGAAATGCGTATGTAAGTGCGATTTGTTAATTATCAACTTAGTACGTGAATGAAGTAGATGAAATATTGGTTTACCCCTTCCCCTGTCACTTATGCAATTTATTCAACATCTCTACCATAAGTTCTCAAAACTTTCTTTGCGAGTAATTTAATTGAAAAACTATTTGTTTTATTATTTTTCAGTATAAAAGAAGAATCATTAAGGGAGAGCAAATTACATGGAATGTTACAATTAAATGAACAAATAGAACAAAAAAAGCAATTTATCATATTTTTCACATCCAATAGTACCTTAAATTAATTATTCAACTGTTTACGAAATTGCAAAAATAATTCGGAAACTGAGAAAAAAATTATTATAATTTCAAAACTTTTATGAATTCAAAATGTTCATTTTCTTGCTACTTTTTATTAAAAAAGTTTTAATTATCATGATGTAGCACAATTATTTATCGTCCATACCAAATAATAAGAATCTGTCAAAAACTCTGCAACCAGAGTTTCTTAATAAATTATTGTGCATCAATGAAACGCTTGAACAAATTCTCTCGACGCTCAACAATTTTTCTTCATTTAAAAGGAAATTTACTTCCACAATCGTCAGTTGTAATCGTTTAAATCAAAATTATGTAATATAATGGCTCCGAGGAGGAACAATTTCCATTTAAAGATCTACAATTTAAACAACACAAATTCTTGAGGGAAATCATCATTAATTTACAAGTGTAAGGCCGTAAAATAAGCACAGTATTTATAAACTGCCCAACTAAATCAAAAGAAAAACAACTAGAGTAAAAAGTTTCATTTAATGACTCAACGTTATAAAAAACAAGAGAAAAGAACAAAACGATTATGATGATGGTAGGCAAACAGATAAATGAGCTAAAATGATTAATTGAAGTTCATTTAAAGGGTTGGGGGAAGTATGAAAGGGAATTAATGAAGAAAATATTTTTTATAATTAGCATACAATTTTTGCCGCTATAGTACTTCCTATCAGTCATGAATTCATCGAAAAAGCATATTTTCATAAAATTAATACTTCTTAAACCAGGAAAAGAAATACAATTTTAACTTGATGCAAACATTACAAAATTTACAGTGGAAAATTCCTTGATATCATTAAAATCAAATTGAAATCTGGCTCACTAAAAAATAAAACTTGTGCAAAGACATCAATTAATAGAAAAGACTTAAAGTGGCAACAAGTAAAATTTGGCGTAAAAAAGAACCAACATCAAATATTTACCATTAAATTGTTAACAGAAAAAAGGCTCGAATAAAAAGGCTGCTGATGGTAGTGATTGTTGCAGGAAAGGATGGTGTGCTTATCGACAATGTTGTAGGTTTTATGTTTCTCTTTCTTGCGGTAATGACGAAAAGGATCCAAATATAAAAGTAAAAGGGAAAATGTGCGGTATAATAGACAGTTATTCTTAGAAGTGAAAGAATATTATTTCCGGTCAAAGTTTAAAGTTAAATGTTAAAAGTAAAAACAAATGAAGCGTAGCAAATGTAAAAAAAAATATCGTTTGGTGTGAGAGGACTGAAGAGGCTGAAAAATAATTAAACTAAAAAACTTTTTTATTAATTAATTTTTCAGAGTTTTATTATTAAATCATTTTTCTGTGTTTCCACAATGGCGGTATGTGGTTAATACAATATCAAATTGGTAGGTATGTAGACTAATAGACTGAAAAGTATTGAGTACAAGGGAAAGGGAGTTGAGTTTGAGGACATGGTCATAAATTAATTATTCAGTCCAATAATATTCATGCATATTTATTGAAATTCGTTGCATAAAAAAGAAAATTCAGAAAATGTTTTACCATCGTCGTTAAATTTAACTTAACGACCCCTCAACCTCTTTGTACCCAATACAAGAGTGATTTACATCCTACCTTAATTCATTGTTCATTCGATACTTTTGTATTTAAATAAAAAAAAGACTATACAAAAATCATCCGTATGAAATTTAAATAAAAACATAATAATTTACAATACACAAATTTTTTTAATAAAATTTTAATATAATTAATATGAAAATAAAAATTGGAAAAACATATAAATTTAAATAATTAATTAATTAATATGCAGCACTATCACTGCATTATTTTTATCATCAATTTATTATACAATAATTTATATTGACTCGGTGTGCATTTTTATCGACACACATTCACAAAAACAAAAGTATTTCTTTTTCAGTACGATAAGGAAAATTAAAATTTTATAACTTCGTTTTTTAAAATATTACTTTAAATGTTTCTTCATTTCTTTGTTCAATTTTAATTAATTTGCAATTATTTCTTTTTTCAATGAAAGTAGAAGTTCCAACTTTTTCTCAAGTTTTAATCGACTAGCAAATTTTATCATTTTTTTCTCTTTCGAAATACTTTTTTGAATAAAGAAATATTTCATAAAGTCTTTAAAAGTTCATTAATTTTTTTAAGGTTGAAAAAATAAAATTATTATTTTTGTTTAAATTCTTCGGAGGATGACAAATTTATATCAGATTGCACGTGTTGTGTGAAAAACTTCAAACAAAATTTACATGAAAATAAGAAGCATATAAACAACTTTAAAATCAATTGATGAATGGAATGTGGTTTTGCAGTTTGAGCTTTCAACTCATTTAGAATTCTTATTATTTTTATGAAAATTAATAATAAAACTTTTAAATATTGGGTTTGCTTAGCATTTGTTTTTTAAAAGATAAAATCGATTCTATTTTCCATGAAGTTTTTCATTTTTATTATCCTTTGTATTTTTTTATAGTTAATAATAGATAATACAGTTTTAAACTGGTTTTGTTCCTTTTACTTTATATTGTTCTTATCGTTTCCTGTATAAAAGCAATTGATATGATTCAGTTTTATATAGGTATTAAAAAACTTTTAAGTGTTGCATTTTATTTTTACTTAAAAATTATTTTTCTTAATTATTTTACTTCCAAGTCTAACTGAAATTTGTATAAAGTTATTTGTAGACTTTAATATTTTATTAATTTTTTAATGAATTTATTTAATCGAGGAACTTAATATTCGGATTTTTGCTACATTTGGAACTGACACAAATTTAAATCATTGACCATGCTGTTGTTAATGTTACGCTTCAGTTTATGTAAATCATACCTTTTTGAACTTTGTTGCTGATAATATCATTTTAATGTAAAAAAACAACAAATTTCAATTGTTTGTTTCATTCAATACATGATCATTTAGGTTTCTATTGAAACAAGTTAATTAATTAGCAAAACTTCATTATGTATTAATTGTTGACATATTTTAAATGTGAAAAGCAAAATTGACAATTTTACTTGCAAAATAATGATAACAATGTTTTAGCAACTGCATCAGATTTGCTCAAAACAAAATTGGATCAATTTAATTCGATAAAATTTTCATATATGCTGATGATTAAGTGCTTGTTAGCATCACAATTGAAATTCATTATATTTGCATACGTCGAACAGAGTTGTGAGATGTTATAGTTACTAATTATAAATTAAAATAGATGTGGAATAATTAATTAGTTTTAAATAAATTTTGTGGTCAATTCGGGTTAAGTTATGTAGCAAATAATCGATTTTGATGTTTTTGGATTGTGTTAAAAATATTCAGTTTAGGAAATAGAAGGAGAATTAGAATTTTGAGAGATTTATGATTTTAAGTAATGCCATGGGAATATTCAATGATATCTGTAATATTGAGGATGTAAAAAGTTAAAAACCATCTCAAGGGGATATTCGGATTCCAAATTATAAAGTTTTATAAACCAAAACTCTATTTCCTTGCTATGACTAATATTCAAATTCCAATTTTAATTCGTTTTTTCTTCTTCAACAAATCCATGAAGGAGCTCATGAAAAAACAATTTAATGACGATTCAAAACTGTTCTTATGGATATGCCTTGGAGCACTTTGATTGTAAAAATCTTTTTGTTTTCATTTCATGACTTAAATTAAGTGTTTATATTGTTTTTTTTCTCTTTCATTTTCATTCTTTAATCCCTCGATGATTTTTAATTCTTTTCACCTCTTTTTATTCATCTTTCGTATAGGAATTAATAGAAACAGTCTTTTGTCTTAATCCTAATTACTTTTTATATCATCAAGCCATCTTCACATCATCATGTTCTTCTCTTGTTCATTTTTATTATACTTTAAGTTCTCTTTCAAGTTCTTGATTTTAATCTGAGAAAAATCTTTATCTTCATTATTATGCTGCTTTTTCTTTGAACTTCTCCTAAATTTTTTTAATCTCTTCATTATTTCTCTCGTTTTCTCTCTCTAGTCTTTTCCTTTATTTCTTGTTGACGTTACTTATTTATAGATTATGTGGACTTTATAATGTCGGCAATCATCAAAAAAAAATGGTTTAGGTGGCAACGAGAAGAGATTAAATGAGCTTCCTTTCATCATAATCATGTGGAATTAAAAGAAACTTTATAATTATTACAAATATCTCATAATAATTTTTGTTGTGTGTTAAGTTTAAAGGAATATGGTCATAAAATCAAATCTGCGCTTACAAAATATCAAAAAAAATAATCTTTACTAATTTGAAACTTGTCGCATTTGTCTGCATTATTTACTTTTTTTAAACAGTTTATGATTGGCTTTCGACGGAAATCTGACATTGCTAAATTTTAAATATACAGATAACAAATATTATGCTTCGAGCTACTAATTGTTTACAATGACTATCGTTTCATGTCAGCTTAACCTTTGACGATTGCTACAACAAAACCAAATAAATAATTAGAACCTATTTTTGGTGTATTTCCGAAAAATATTTGACGATCATGATTATGATGGTCATGATGATGATGATGAAATTTTTCGTTCATTATTAGCAGGTATATTTTGCCTCAAGAGCATTCATAAGTATCATCTGTTGCTGTTGTTTCTCCTCTAGCTGTTGGTGTTATATTTTCGCCATTCTCATTCTCATTACTATTTTTGGTGCCTCCACTTCGTTTTCTTCGATTCCAGAGACTATGGCCAGAGTTTTGCGTATTCTGAGAGTAGCCTGAATCGGAGTTCATGGCACCAGTTGTAGATGAATTATAAAGTGGTTGTTGGGGATTATTAAGATTGTTTAAATTTCTAAATGTCGTAAATTCTGGTAGCATATATGGTTGATGATATATTTGATTCCTATTATCAGATGATATTATGTATGGATCATATACCACATTTTCATGATACACTGGCTCATGATAAAGGTACTCGTCATTATTATTTAAATTATTATTATTATTACTAGAATTATTGTTATTATTACGTCTACGGTCAGTTCGTGGATTTGTTGTCGATAATCGATTATTGGCATCATTTCTATTTGCAGCCATCATCATGATATGTTGTTGTGGCACATAATAATTGGCATTTGCTCTTGTTTCTGTGGTATTGCTGTTATTATTATTATTATTAATATTCTGATGATTATGGTGATAATTTCGCATACTATTTCGATCTCTGAAAATTGTTGCCACATTAAGTGTTGGAGTAGCCGCTGAAAGCTGTGCATTTATGCGGTTTCGTCTTTCGACCTCACTGTCGATGCCATAATAATTATTTCTACCACTATTTCCACCATTATTACTATTATTATTTGTATCGCCATCGATATGATTTGCATTTGAACTACAACTAATTGGATCACTATTGCTTGCTGCTGACGATGATGAACCGCCTACATGATATGATGATAATGGGATCTCATCACATCCTGATGAATTTAAATTATTCATACTAAAATTATTTGTTTTTCCTCCACCACCACGATTATGATGATTATTATTTTTTGATTTGCTACTACTACTGCAGCCGTTGTTCGGTCGTGATGTTCGAAATCGGAAGAAATTGGACATAGCACTACTACTACTACTATTATTATTATTATTATTCACACTGTTATTTCCATTTTTATCATTGTTTTGACTATTTAATGTGTTATGATACAAATTATGTTGATGATGTATACGACGACTATTTGACTCATTAGTTAAACTAGAATTTTTCATATTTGGTCTCATCACATTACTAAGGTTATTATTACTATTATCATTAGAGGAAGCTGATGATAATAATGAGTTTCTCTCTACCCGGCTTCGTTCCATATACATTGCAGAATTTTCATTTCCATTATTACTACTTGTTGATCCAGCACCATGTTCTTGATAAATTGTTGCAACAGTTGTGTTTTCGGAAGATGATTTATTTAAAGAACGATCACCTGGAAGACTCAATTCATCCTCAGCAAAGTCCTCATCGGAATGCATTTGTCGATCACAATTTTGATATCTATTATTGCCACGATGTTCAAGCTCCTCATAAACATTATCATTTGAACGATAAGGCTCAGGGCCAGGAGATGAACAAATGAATAAGGGTGGTGAACGTTGAATTGGATATCCACCTGGATAATGAATTCCTTTTGAATGCAACATCTAGAAATGAGAAAAAAAAAACAAAAAAAAAGTTAATTTTATTTTAAAAAAACTTTTAAAATGATATACATAAGAGGAATTAAAGTACATAATGCGGTCCCTTGATTAAACAAATAAAAACAGAAGCTTTTTAAAATCTTAAAAAAGCAGAATTTACTTGTTTGTTCCGCTAGAAAGTTTTCTCTTTACACATTTCCACTTTATTTTTTATTCTCTTGCTTGTTTATTCTCCAATTTAACGGTCATATAATTTTACAAATAGCAAAAAGTCCCTTACTTCCATTTCTATCCAACTTCCTCAGTTGAATCCCTTTAGATTGTTAAAAGAATCAAAAGAAACAATTTTCATACAAAAGAAATACAAAGTAAATTGCATCTTCAGTAGTACACTTTTTTATTCATTCACTTCAGCACTAAAGAGATATAGCAACTGCAGAAAGCATATTGTGTTGGTAAGAGCGAGAAAATTATTTCCTTTTCCTGCATTTCAATAGTGTAGTGTTCACTCATAGTGTATTTTATTTTTAGCTGAGTAACTTTCCAGTTAATGTTAGAAAATTGAAGTAATAATGGAGTATACAATCTATTCAGTGAGTGGAATTCATACAAGGTGGAAAAATTTTCATTGCACTTTTTCATTGATTCATGCAATTAAAATTTACATCTAAAGTTTTAAAAAATAAGAAGCTAACCCGAATAGACAAAGAGCGTGCTCACTTTTGTGAGCACGTTAATGAGCATGCTCAAAATCATCATTTAACGTGCTCACCTGAGCACACTCAGTTGAACATGCTTGTGAGCACATTGTGAATATGCTCACAAAAAAACAAATTTTTTGAAATTTTTTATTTTATTGAGCATGCTCAAGAGCATACTCAATTCCAAAATCTAAGCATGCTCACTTGAGTACACTCTTAAGCATACTCGTGAGCACATTGTGAATATGCTCACAAAAAAATCAATTTTTTTAAATTTTTCATTTTATTGAACATGCTCGAGAGCATACTCATTTTCGAGAGCATGCTCATGAGCATACTCAATTACCAAACTTAAGCATGCTCACTTGAGTACACTCTTAAGCATACTCGTGAGCACATTGTGAATATGCTCACAAAAATAAACATTTTTATAATATTTCACATTTTATTGAGCATGCTCATGAGCATACTCAATTTTCAAATTTAAGCATGCTCACTCTTAAGCATACTCGTGAGCACATTGTGAATGTACTCTAAAAAAACATTTTTTTTTAAAGATTTCACATTTTATTGAGCGTGCTCAAGAGCACATATATTGAGCATACTCTGAGTATGCTCATGATTTTGTATATACTTCACAAGTCAAAGTTTCTAGAATTATATATAGTTATCTACTTTTTAACTTTAAACATTGTTTAAAAACATTTTGAGATCAATTTGAAGTATTTAACTTTGTTATAGTTTATATATGCGTTTTTGCCATAATAAAGTATAAAGGTAAATTGCAGCAGTGGTGTAATGGTTATGGTAATGGTCTTAGCAACAGAGCGGTCGTGAGTTCGAATCCAGGTAAAATCCAAAATTTTCTAAAGTGTCTTTTTCAGATTATTAATGAACAAAATTTATTCTAGAACATTAAAAAACTCTACAACAGTAAAATATATCAAAAAAAAAATAATTTCAAAATTTAATTTTTTTGAAAATTATTAAATAATGTGAGTACACTCAGTGAGCATGCTCAGAGTACACTCACGAGCACACTCACTGAGTGTACTCAAATGTCACATCATATGACATAAAAAATGTTGCGTGTCACACAACAATTTGAGCATGCTCAAAATTTGTTAAAATAACGTGCTCAGAGCATGCTCAAAAAACGTGCTCATTAGCGTAAAGTAGTGGCATCACTTTTCGTATGAAAGAGCACGCTCACGCGAGCATGCTCAGCACTAAATTTGAGCGCGCTCATAGCGTGCTCTTTGTCTATTCGGGTAAGAATGGCATAAAGTCATTAAAATTTCAAATTTTATTCACTTGAATTGATCAAAGCTTTAAGTCAACTTTAAGTTGATCGAATCTTTTTTGAATCCCGAAAAGAAGCAAGATTTTTTTATTTAAATTAAAGTCTGAAGGAATTTAAGGATAAGACTAAAAATACCTCTGATAAACATCAAAGAACTGTTTTGATTCATTTCTAAGATCCACAAAGGAATTAAGGCTAAGAAACTATAATTGTTCTAAAAAATCTATATGGCTCTAAAAGGAAGTGAAAATTGAAGATTGCTTAAATAAAATTTATTTATTAAACGGCTCGATTAAGATCGACTTCATTAAGAACTAGTGTATCGGGTAGAAACCCAATGCGGATTATATTCACATCGTAACATCAAAAGTCTTGTGGATAGACCAAGATTTGCCCAGCATAAGTTTGAAGGTATAAAGCTAGCGAGTCAGCTGAGCTTCGCTCAACATAAGTTTGAAGGTTTAAAGCCTGTTTAAAGCTTAACGAACATTCTTTAAAAGTTTTTTAAAATTTTCTCTTCATCCAAAGTTTAATTTTATAAAAATCACAGTTTTAAAAAATTCGTAAGAAAGGAAAGTTTTTTGCTTTTTCTGAAGCAACAGCTGTTCCTACCTTGCCTAAAAACAATACATCTCTTCTATAGAGCAGCACGGATCAAATGGAAAAAACTAGAAGTCTCTACGATGTCTCGTTATTGAGATTTCTTGCTGATTAACTTGCTTGCTTGTTTGCTTACATAAAGCGTATTTTGCCTTTTTCATTAGCTATGCCGCAACCAATTTGAAATCTGTTTTTTGAAAATGATGTAAAATTTCAGGCACAAATTTTTCTTCTAGGACCTTTTATAAACAATTTTGCTTCTTTTTCTCACAAAATGCAAAAAAAATGATTTTTCAATCTGAACAAAACCAATAGATTCACACTATGCTTTCTCGCTATCGGGATCGGGATCGGGATTTCCCGGGATTTACCGATCCCGATCAATCCCGGGATCCCGAAATTTATCGGGATCGGGATTGAAAATCCCGGTTTTTTAGTTTAGGAAATTATTGATGTTTTAGAACCTGCTAAATATGAAGGAACAATTAACTTTTTGCTAGACGAATTGTTGCTACAAGAAACATTATTGTCTCAAAAGGTTTACGATATGAATTGCGCTCGCATAGGTGTACGAAGAAATGGAACATTAATTGACTTAATACTTTACCTCAATATATTTCTTTAGACAAGCATTTTAAATCGTCAACAAAAGCTGCAATACATAAACTTGGCAATGACTTATTGAAGAAGTATTTTGTCAAAAACTCTACAAATGGAGCTATGGAAGCTTCAACAACATCCAGTGCAAATCAAATCCAACCGTCAAACATTTCTATTCGAGATAGACTGAAACTAAGCATATCTGAATATACATCATTAACAACAGATGCAGCAGCAACAGAACCAAATAACTTGAAAAGAGAGTTTAATTGGTATGACAAAAATAAGAAGAGAACCGTTTTGTTAGATCAACTTTACGATGCATTGATAACAATGCAGCCGACCTCAACTCAAAGCGAACGAAATTTCTCTATTAGTAACAACATTCTTACAAAACAAAGAAAACGTTTACTTGACAAGAATCTAAATGCAATTGCATTTGTTAAAAGTTTTTTCATTAATGCTTAATTTTTATTATTATATTCACACCGTTTTCTTTAACCTTTAAATTTACATCTTTATCAACATTTATTTTCTATTTTTGTTTATGCTCACATTTTTCAAAGGAAACATGGATTAAAACTCTACCTTGTAACACATAAAGTATAACTAATTAATTAAGGAATAAATGACCGTATAAGTAGCAAAAAAATATATAATTTTTTTTTGGGAAAAAAGCAGAAAAATGCTGTTTTTTAAATTTTTTTAAAATATTCGGGATTCCCGGGATTTCCCGGGAAATCCCGAAAAATTTCAATCCCGATCCCGATCCCGAAAATTTGTCGGGCCCGGGATTTCGAGAAAGCATAATTCACACGTGAAAACGGTGTGAATATAATTAATAATTTTTTTTATTGAAATGGAGTGTCAGGATGATTTTTTATTCTTGTAATGTCATCTTTAAAACAAGAATATAGAATTATCATGGAAATATTTTAAAATTTGAATATTTCGAGATGTAAATAGCTGTAAATGGAAAATAAATTTTCATGTCTTTTAAATTTTACATCGACCGAGCAAATTTCTTATTCATTATGAGAGCAAACAGATGGAAATTTTATGAATAAGGATAACATTAACCGCATTCAATTTTCATCTTGTTACATAAAACTTTTTCCTTTTCATTCTTTCATTCATTCAGTCAATTTGGTTATTTTTAGGGCAAATATGAATGTCATGCAAAATGTTTATTTCCGTCTTTATTTCATGAGTTCTTGGAAGAAACTTTTAGTCTATTCATCCCACTTCCTCATCAACATCCGGCAATGATAAATTGTTTCAAAATCACAGAAAAGTTTTTCCATTCTTAAGACTCTTAGTTTTCTAGGAGCATCTCTTTTTTTCATCATAGAATGAGTTAATGTACATTTAAAAATAGTTTCTTGATGACTTAAATTCTCATAATTGTAATGATGAGGATTTAAAGTGAAAAGATGTGCTTAAGTAAGATATTAATGAATTTAAGATGAGTTTGTTAAAAAGGAACAACAAGATAGGAAAAAGGGCAGAATTGATGTGCAATTGAATAAAAGCAAGAAGAATGGAAGCGTGATACAAGTTAGATAATTTAAGAAACTTAAAATTAGTGATACATTTTGAAGATAATTTACAATAAATGATAACTTAACATTCATAACCCCTATAAAGCAATAAAGCAATAATTCAATAATTCCAAACGAACAAATATTCAATCGTATCCAAGCTCAGACATTTAAAAGTATCAAGAACAATTTATGCTAATTTTCAGGATTATAATGCTGAAGAATAAATAAAAATAATAATTCACATAGGCAGCTCTA